GCCACCACCTCCGCCACCACCGCCGCCGCCACCACCACCACCACCGCCAGCACCGCCACCGCCACCTCTTGTCTGGCGCCCGTCTCCAGCGTCGACGTCGACGTCGGCGCAGTCGACGTGAAGAGGAGGCTGCCGCTCGTCGAACACGACCGCAGCTACTCGGACGCCGCCGGTCTTCTGCCGCCCGCCTACCCACCGGGCCTCGACCCCACCGCCCATCTGTGCCAGGTCCCAACCAGCCCCAACCACGCCACCTCCACTCCCAATCGTCACCTTCTCATCGCGCCGCCCTACCTCCGATCCGATGACGACCGTTGCCTCGGCTACGCCATGGCCACACGCCTCTTCGCGCCCGGCTCCGGCTCGTGCCGCCTCGACGCCTGGCGCTCGCGGGCAGACGAGCCGTCTCTCGCTTCCCTCGAGGCCAACCACCATCAGACGGGCCTGCTTGACCTGTCGCTAGGGCTACCGGGCATGGAAACGGACTCCATCTTGACGCATCACATGTCCGCCGAGTACGCCAGTCTCTTCAAGTCGCCGGGCAGCTTCTTCTCCGATCGGGGACACGTCAAATCGACCGACAACTCGCCCGCCCTCCACTCCCTCCGATAGAGACTCACCAAACGACAGTCATCAGACGCTCAGGTGAGACTTTTCATCCGCTTCTTCCTCCTTACACAAAATGCAGTGCTGTGTGCCTCTCGTCCTTCCGCATACACACAAACACACGCTCCAAACCTCACTTGCCAACACGTGAAGTGCTCAAAATGACACGCTTCAAGTGAAACATTTACTTCGGAGCCATGAGAATGTTGCATTGGGCATTCACAAAAATGCCCAACCTGAGAGTATTGAAACAGCATTTATCCCCATTTGGGACTACTCTGTACCATAGTCTTGCCTCTATTATCGACGCTACCTAAGCACCCACAACCGGACGCATGTATATGCAAGTATACACACGCACATAAATACCATATTTCCTGCAGCCATACCGCCAAGTGCTGCCTCATAAAAGAAGAAGCTACCAACTGGCTCGTTCTAACGTTTGTTTTGTACATAACCTGTGGATAAAAAGTGTATTACCGCCTTTGGCAATAGAATTCCTGCAAATGTCTTCTTTGCTGACTCTTGCCTGACTTTAATGCGTCATTTGGCCTCAGTTTGTAAGCTCATCGCTTACACACAAACACCACACCGACAAGTAGCCCAAAGGATGGTGGGTCTTACCCTCCCCCTCCGCCCAGCGGAGCGTCAGTCGTGGGGCCTGCGACCAGCAAATGCCAAGGGGGGGTGGGGGTGGGTCAGTGATAAAATTGCATCACACTCAAGTTAGAGAGAAGCGACTGTATGCACACTTGCAGACACGAGGTGAAGGGAATGGGTGGCATTCTTTTGCCACAACCCGTCCAGCCCAACGACTCCACTTCGGCCAGTCGGGCAAGTCGAGGCCGGGCCCAATTCGTGACCACTTTCCGCGCCCATTTCGTTCATTTCTCCCATTTACGACGTCCAGTTAACAGGAATTGCAACAGGTCGAAACAGCCAAGACGTCAGAGCAAAAAAGGTCAACGACCAGCTCTGCTCGAGCCCATCTTTTTCGGCCGGCGGAGATGGTACTTGAAGAGGCACTCTTTGCTTTTCAGCACTGATCGCCGCTAGCCAGACTCTTGCCTCGGACTCACCCGGCAGCGGGGCAGGCTGTAGG